ACCACCTGCTGACCTCAATCCTTCTTTCCTTTTTAGGCTTTTTTTTTTTTTTTTTTGCTATATGATATGTGGGCTCACCATAGAGACAGAGAGAGACAGAGAGAAAGTAAGAAATGACATCCCTGCCCCTCCTTGGGGGAAAAGGCCATGCCACAATCCCTTCTCTTCCATTCTCCTCTTGGGATCATTCCTGCCCGGTATGAGTTTTAAGACCCTGGGTCTGGGACTTGAACTGCTGTTGACTATGTTGGAGTCTAGCAACATAACCGCTATGCCGTCTGGTGGTTCCCCCCACCCCCCTAGGCTTTTTTAGTTTACTGCTAAACCTAATACTTCGAACGAGAGAGGGGGAGAACTAACCTTTGTTCAGTGCCTAGCACCCACAAAATGCTTTATACATACTAGCTCATTCAATTATGTTAATCTGTGAAGAAGATGTTTTTTACTCTCATCTTAAAGATGAAGTAACTGAGGGAACCAGCAGTTAGCGTAATGGTTATGTCGCTGGACTCCCACGTAGTCGACCGCGGTTCGTGTCCCGGACCCGGTGGCTTAAAACTCACGCCGGGCGCGTGTGCGTGCGTGCCCAAGATCCCGAGAGGAGAATGGAGGAGAAGGGATTGCGGCGTGACCATCCCCCCTGGGGGGTGATTTCTCCCTTTCTGTCTCTATGTCTCTCTCTGTCTGTCTGGCGAGCGCACGCGCCCTACAGTGAAAATCTCTCCAAAAAAAAAAAAAAAAAAAGATGAAGTAACTGAGGGAATATGTAAAGAAATAGGGGGAACCAGCAGTTAGTGTAATGGCTATGTCTGGACTCCCACGTAGTCGACCGCGGTTTGCGTCCCGGACCCGGTGGCTTAAAACTCACACCGGGAGCATGTGCATGCGTGCCCAAGATCCCGAGAGGAGAATGGAGGAGAAGGGATTGCGGCGTGACCATCCCCCCTGGGGGGTGATTTCTCGCTTTCTGTCTCTATGTCTCTCTCTGGCGAGCGCACGTGCCCTATAGCGAAAATCTCTCCCCAAAAAAAGATGAAGTAACTGAGGCAATTAGATTAAATTTATACATCTACTGAGCAAAAGAACTGACTACTGTATTCAATTTGTATTATGGTTTATGTTAAATCAATTTTTTTCATAAAGGTTAATCTAAAAGTAGTTGTAACATATAATAAATTAATTTTGTTGCTAGCTTTTCAGTTTTCTCTTTACTTGATCTCTTATTCTTCTACACTGAGCCAGGAAACACATCTTTCCTCCCTCTCCAAGTCCATACCATATAAAATAGCTCCTTACTGACAGGGTTGCCCTGAGAACTAAACTGCTTTCTTCAGAATTCTGAATTTACTCTGAAGAAGAATCTTGTGTGTTTGATTTAGTCTAACTCTCCCAAAGTCACCTGAGGCCTATATTAGATTGAATTTTAATTAAATCTTAGATTGGTTTTAGGAGAAAGGAATAGATTTCATTGTATTTTATACTGGTCCTCTTTATATGGTAAGTGACACAGTCTGATGCTCTTAATACCCAGAACCCTTGTTTCTTAGATTTTCCTTTGTTGTTTGAGAACTCAGAAATATGCAGAGCCCCTCCTGGCACACTAGACCCCATCCTGACCGGATTTTCCCATCTTAGATTTTACTACCCCTAGAGAAATGGGACAGAACCATCTTCGAGGTAGAAGTTAGAGGAAGAGACACATAACCATCAATTGAGAGCCTGGCTTATGGTATAAGAAGAATAAATTCAGTCTGTAAATTGTGTTTACTTGTGTAATTCTTAAGCTTCACTACCCACACATGTAATTAATTTTGTTTACGTGGGCGTGTGCAAGGCTCTTATTAACTTCTGTTTAAATAAGAGTAAAGAAATAATGTCAGTGTACACATTTTGTAAAATAAACAGCAGTGGAAACTCCACTGGCCTTTTTATTTTTATTTTTAAAATTCTTATTTTTGGAATTTTTGCCAGAGGGCATGTGTATTTATCAGAAAGAGCAAAAAAATGAGAGGGAAAGTGAGAAAAGCCCCCCCCTCGCCGTGGGGGGATGGTCTCAGTGGAATCCCTTCTCCTTCATTTCTCCCTCCTTTTAGGACTTTAGGCACTCCTGCACCTGTGCTTGACATGTTTTTCAGGCCACTGTGTCCGAGATTTGTACCACGCAGTTGTCCATTTAGGTTCTAGCTGCCTTAACCACCATGCCAAGCTGCTGGCCTACTTTAGAAATTTTCAAGACAGGGTCTTGCCATGTTGTGATCCTCTTGCCTCAGCCTCTAGTACCTGGCACTACAGACAAGTTGCCACTACCCAGAGCTTTTAGGGTGGCCTGAGAATCAAACCCAGGTCTCAGCCTGCTCAGGAGCAGTGTCTTACTGGCATGCTCTACTGTGGTTGGGCCCCATTAGCCTTTGATGACACTGGGTGTTTGCTGAGCACTCTGTGAGATACATTAGGTTCTGGGTTAAAAAGAGGAGTAAGCTGTGTAGCATCCATGCCTTCACACAGCCCACAGTTTTATGAAAGAGCGATGCATAGATGCCTCAAGTGAATGACAGTGGACCGTAGTAGAGATCTACAGGGGGAGGAGCTGATGAGGCACAAGAAGGCAACTGGAGGAGAAATCAGAAAATGCATAGTGGAGGACCCTTGAAGTTAGTTGAAAAGTTAGAGTTTACCTCTAATATGAGGTATGTGAGCTGGCGGAAAGTTGAAGTTTTTGGATGAGAGGACCAAACTTTACAAAACAGTTGAAGTGTGAGAGAACAAGCCTCTGGATGTTTGGGGTGGAATGGGATGAGATGAGAGGCTGCAAGGCGAGGCAGGGCCCTATATTCCAAACTACGGGGCTTTGAGACTTAATTCCATAGGCAGTGGGGAGTCGGTGAGGCAATTTTTAGTAAAATCTGTAATAACATAAGGAAATGTACTCTATCTAGCCTTAAGTCCCTGTTTGAGTATCTTAGACAATGGGAGAAAAGAAAGATATCACATTGTTTTGGAATATAGATGTTTCAGAGGAAGGTATATTAAATGAGGATTTGTGAAGCCACAAATTTATGTCATTTTAATTTTCTTCCTGAACAAAATGCTAGATACCTTGAGTCGGAGGCCTCTTCCCCACTTTCCCCTCTAAGGCCTTCCCCTGTGATATTGCTCCGTGGGTAGCAGGTGCCCCAGGACACCTCTTATTTTGAACCATTGTACTTCCTATCATAATTAATGCATTTTACATTTAATGGGCCATATTTTCCAAAATTTAATTTCTTTAAAAATTCTTAGCTTTAGCTTTTTTTTTTTTTTTTGGTTGTTGGGGAAGTCATGACATACTTTTCTATGCAAAAGTGCAGCATGACTTTCCTGACAACACAGTAATTTGCCAGGAGGCATGTGCACTTATCAGCAAGAGGGAGAGGGAGAGGGAGAGGGAGGAAGACGGAGAACACAGTGGAGTGTGGTCATGTCACAGCCCCCTCTCCATTTTTCCACCTTTTGAGATTTGAGGCACATATGAACACATGTCCCGTGTGTTTCTCAGGCCATTGGGCCTGGAACTCACACTGCACAGTTGGCCATTGGGATTCAGTCTCCTTAATCTGAGTGTCATAGGCTGGCCCGAGAAGTCTTTAATCTTAAATGACCGAAACTGGAGTAGTCTCATCCTTAGCGACTGACTTCTTTGTAGAGAAAAGAAATAAAGGACAGTCTTTATAGACTATTTGCAGATTTTTTATTGCTTTGGTGTTTTTTCAATTTAGCAAGACTTTATTAAAGGCTTTCAGTATTTTTTTCTGCTTTTTCAATATACATAGCACAAAATACTAACAGTTGTTGCTATCACTTTTGAGATCTTGTTGTATATTAGGAACTGTACTAAGCATGTTTTATACTTAAATTTCAGTTAATCTTCCCAACAACCCTAAATGTTATGGGCATTATTCTTATCTAATGATGAGAAAAATTACCTTTCAGTCACATGGCCAGTGATGGGAGTCTAGACTTAAACCCAGATCTGTCACTGAAAACTTTCTGCTGCTTTTTGACATTTTCTTCCATACCACAGAAGGGCATGAGGGAGGGATCCTGATGGGTGGCCATAGTACAAGCTCCCAGAAAGGTGCAGCCGTCTCCCCCTCTTCTGCTTTTGGTTTAGTGATCAGTACAGGTACCCTTCATATAATAGAGCCTCAGATGGCAATTGTGTTTTTCCTAGAAATGCTAGATTTTGAGTTGGCAGAAAAGCCGTGAAATATTTCTTCTATGTTTTTCTATGCAAAAATGCATTGTGACTTTTATGGCAACCTAGTAGCTAATTACGAGGTTTGGAAAGGCCATCCCAAAGTATTTGCTGGTAATAGCACAACATCCTATGTCTAAGGACTAGTTTTTATGCTCTTTGTTTTTTTTCCCTCTTTATGAGAGAGAGAGATGATGAGAAAGAGACCAAGATAGGTAATTATTAAAAATTATTTATTTAATTTCATTTGTTATTACTATTTTTTAATTTGACGAGAGAGAGAGAGAGAGAGAGAGAGAGAGAAAGGGGAAGCAAGAAAGTAAGCTGCCAGGTCCAAGACTTGAACCATGGTTGGCCATATGAGAATCCAGTGCCCTTAAGCATCACACCACCTGCTGGCCCCAAAGATGAGTAATTTTGACAAGATCTCTCAGTGTTGAGATCTTTTTGTCTCCCAATTTGCAGGGGATGTAACCACAACTGGCATGTTCAGGTTGGCCAGTGAGCTGAACCTGGGCCTCTCATGGGGCTTCCAGCCTCCCAGGCAGTGTTACTATCTGTGTATCAATACTCTTGGGCCAAGGACTGCTCCCCCCCGCCCCCATGGAATCCTTTTATTCTGTTTTTGTTGCTACTTAGGAAAACTGCTTTGCCTTTAGTTCGCTGTGGCCTGGACTTGTGACACCAGCCTTTATTTGGCCAATTAAGAATAAGGCCAAATTGCATTCTCCTTAGAAGGTCTATTCAATTGATAAGTGACACTTACCTGACGATTTTTTTCCATATGACCTTTAACAGGAACTCGTGACGTGCATTGATTATGCCCCAAAAGATGAGGGACTGATGATAGTTCAAATGGGTGCCTCTAAAAAGATTTGCCAATTTTATGTCCTGTTCTAGCCAGATTTTGTGAAAATCATAGAGAAAGACTGAAATTCCCCACCAAGTCTGAGACTGTATGTGAGTATTTACATTATTAACTGGAAAAATCAGGAATCCGAACATGGCCTCCAACAGACCTCCACAGATAAAATCATTGACCAAACGAGCACTGTGAGTCATTGCAGGAGGCAGATGCTCCTTGATGGGACCACGAAGGCCAAAGAAAAGGACTTTGCTGAACTCACTACGGAAAAGAATGGGCACCAGGCCTCGATAATATTCCCCAATTCCATGGCATTTCAGTGCCTTGAAAGCCTGATAAGTGTTTGTAAATTTGTCATGATGCTTATGGTCTTGAAGCAATGTCTGAACTCTTCCCAGTGGAGTGAAAATTGCTTCTGTTGTCCCTGCAAGTACTGCCATGCTGTGGGTTGCAAACTGTGGGGCACTGACGTGCTTATGGAGAAAGCAAGACAAATCCTCGTACAGACCAAACATGGGCACCAGTGTCATTGTCTTCTGTATCAACGGGGTGAGGATTCTGTGATAAAAGTTTCAGAATCCATCCCTCCTCAACTGAAGTATGGCATCCTGGGTTTTGATTCTGTATAACTGTTGCCAAAGGAGGACCTTCTGGATGGGAAATGTTATGGCTACATTGCTGGAAGCTGCACAGTAGCCACACAAATAATGCTTCATTTCTCCAACATCTGTAACGTGAGGGGAAAGCTCTTGTTTAGATGTTAGGATTGGTAGCCTCCTTTCATGAGCTTCTGAATTCATCATGTTGCTTAAGATCTTTCTTCTTCATGAAGATTTTTTTTAACCTATGACCAGCTGTGCCATACCACACTGAGGTCCAATCCATTTTCTTCAGATGAAGAACCTGATTCTGAAAATTTGTTTCACTGTGCCACCATCTGGGCCTGGTGTTTTGGGGGATGGTGGCTTGCTGATGACTTGCCCAATTCTCTCCATTGTTATTGGTCTCTCTTCTGGAATCTTTTCTGATAACTAGAGTTCTCATTGCCCCACCCACCCACAGGATGGCCACGGAGTGACAGGACCAGTTATTTTTGAAGTCTCAGTTTCTGGTGTGATTCCAGACCTACAAGTCTGGACCTAAAGCCTTACTACTCAAAATGTGAGCCTCAGATAGCAGCATTGGCATCACCTGGGGCTTCTTATTCTTTTCTTTTTTAAAAATTTTATTCATAGTCATTATTTTTATTTTATTTTATTTATTTTAAGTTGAACAGAGAGAGACAGAGAGAGAGAGAAGGAAAGTGAAAAAGCAAGTTGTCGGGCCTGGGACTTGAACTGCTGTCAGCCATGTGGGAGTGCAACCACCTTAACCACCGTACCATCTTCTGGCCCCCATTCATTTTTATTTTAATTTGAACAGCGAGAGACAGAGAGAGAGAGAAGGAAAGTGAAAAAGCAAGTTGTCGGGCCTGGGACTTGAACTGCTGTCAGCCATGTGGGAGTGCAACCACCTTAACCACCGTACCATCTTCTGGCCCCCATTCATTTTTATTTTAATTTGAACAGCGAGAGACAGAGAGAGAGAGAAGGAAAGTGAAAAAGCAAGTTGTCGGGCCTGGGACTTGAACTGCTGTCAGCCATGTGGGAGTGCAACCACCTTAACCACCGTACCATCTTCTGGCCCCCATTCATTTTTATTTTAATTTGAACAGCGAGAGACAGAGAGAGAGAGAAGGAAAGTGAAAAAGCAAGTTGTCGGGCCTGGGACTTGAACTGCTGTCAGCCATGTGGGAGTGCAACCACCTTAACCACCGTACCATCTTCTGGCCCCCATTCATTTTTATTTTAATTTGAACAGCGAGAGACAGAGAGAGAGAGAAGGAAAGTGAAAAAGCAAGTTGTCGGGCCTGGGACTTGAACTGCTGTCAGCCATGTGGGAGTGCAACCACCTTAACCACCGTACCATCTTCTGGCCCCCATTCATTTTTATTTTAATTTGAACAGCGAGAGACAGAGAGAGAGAGAAGGAAAGTGAAAAAGCAAGTTGTCGGGCCTGGGACTTGAACTGCTGTCAGCCATGTGGGAGTGCAACCACCTTAACCACCGTACCATCTTCTGGCCCCCATTCATTTTTATTTTAATTTGAACAGCGAGAGACAGAGAGAGAGAGAAGGAAAGTGAAAAAGCAAGTTGTCGGGCCTGGGACTTGAACTGCTGTCAGCCATGTGGGAGTGCAACCACCTTAACCACCGTACCATCTTCTGGCCCCCATTCATTTTTATTTTAATTTGAACAGCGAGAGACAGAGAGAGAGAGAAGGAAAGTGAAAAAGCAAGTTGTCGGGCCTGGGACTTGAACTGCTGTCAGCCATGTGGGAGTGCAACCACCTTAACCACCGTACCATCTTCTGGCCCCCATTCATTTTTATTTTAATTTGAACAGCGAGAGACAGAGAGAGAGAGAAGGAAAGTGAAAAAGCAAGTTGTCGGGCCTGGGACTTGAACTGCTGTCAGCCATGTGGGAGTGCAACCACCTTAACCACCGTACCATCTTCTGGCCCCCATTCATTTTTATTTTAATTTGAACAGCGAGAGACAGAGAGAGAGAGAAGGAAAGTGAAAAAGCAAGTTGTCGGGCCTGGGACTTGAACTGCTGTCAGCCATGTGGGAGTGCAACCACCTTAACCACCGTACCATCTTCTGGCCCCCATTCATTTTTATTTTAATTTGAACAGCGAGAGACAGAGAGAGAGAGAAGGAAAGTGAAAAAGCAAGTTGTCGGGCCTGGGACTTGAACTGCTGTCAGCCATGTGGGAGTGCAACCACCTTAACCACCGTACCATCTTCTGGCCCCCATTCATTTTTATTTTAATTTGAACAGCGAGAGACAGAGAGAGAGAGAAGGAAAGTGAAAAAGCAAGTTGTCGGGCCTGGGACTTGAACTGCTGTCAGCCATGTGGGAGTGCAACCACCTTAACCACCGTACCATCTTCTGGCCTCTACCTGGGGCTTCCTAGCAATGTTGACTCTCAGTATTGTCTACACTTAATGAATTAGAATCTGTATTTTAGCAAGATCACCAGGTAATTCATTTACATTAAAATTTGAGAAACACCACCCTAAACAATTAAAAATATTAGCATCTAATGACCCAGCAATTAAAAAAAATTAGCCAAATAGAGTCAAAGATCTATAGGTGCTGAGCACTGTGCTATGGCTGGAGATTGTAATGGAAGCTATGTTAGCTGAAAGCTCTATGAGAAGTATGGTATTAATCACAGCAAGCACAGGAGAATAATTAAAAATAGCAATTAAGGGATAAGAGACCACAATGACAATAAGAAACTTTACATTTTATGTTTGTAAAGACCTTAGTAGAAAGGGTGGCCCTGTAGTTTAATGGTTAGGTGGTGTGACTAGGAACCTGGACCTCATATGGTTGACCACAGTTCAAATACTAACCCTGGCAGTTCTAAAAATATGCCAGGTGTGTGTGCATGTGTGCCCCAAATCTTGATGGGATAAAGAAATATAGGAGAAAGAATTATGGCATGACCACACCCCTTTGGGGGGTGCTTTCTCTTTGTCCAGCACACATGCCCTCTGGCAACTGGGAAAAAAATAAGACCTTAGTGAAAAGGAAAAAGAGGTCAACTGAGAAAAGACAGAAAATTGAACTTCTGTAGCTTAAGTGCAGCAGGAGAGGGGTAAGAAAGGGCAGTGATTTACTTGGACTTCGTTATAGGAGCTGTTTATTTATTTTACATTAAACATTTTTTTAAACCAGGCTGTCATTGTGTGGTGATCCTCCTGCCTCACTCACCTCCAGAGTAGGTGATGCCACTATGCCTGGCTTTTAGGATGGACTGGAAATTGAATCTGGGCCTCTCATGTGGCCTCAGTCTGCCAAGTAGCATTGTCTCCTAGTGTTTTTTACTACAGTTGGGCCAGGAACTTTTAAAGGCCAAGGGGTACTTTTCAGATAACAAAAGGTTTGCCATGTAACACTCAGCTATTCAGAGAACTCTCCAGTGTGGTTCATATTTTAGTGATTTGAAAGTAGCTGAATTTTTATTGTTTTTATTACAAAGTATAACATGTTTATTATGTATCTTTCTAGTAAATTGATGAAAATTTTACCATTGTTTTATTTAGTTTATGGATCATAAAAAGGACAGATGAATGTATATAACAACTTAAAAATTTTTTTAAGTTTTTGCCATAGGGTGTGTGTACTCGCTAGAGAGAGAGAGAGAGACAATGAGATGGAAAGTGAGAAATTATCCCTGAGGGGACATGACCAAGCCACAATCCCTTCTCCTCCATTCTCCTCCTAGGATCTTAGGCATGCATGCACACATGCCTGGCATGATTTTCAAACCACCAGGTCTGAGACTCGTACCACTATTAGCCGTGTGGGAGTCCAGCACCTTAACCATCACACTACCCCCTGGCCCCTATACAACAACTCTTTAAAAACTCTTCAAAACTCGGGAACCAGCAGTTAGCGTAATGGCTATGTCGCTGGACTCCCACGTAGTCTACCACGGTTTGTGTCCCGGGCCTGGTGGCTTAAAACTCACGCTGGGCGCGTGTGCGTGTGTGCCCAAGAGCCCGAGAGGAGAATGGAGGAGAAGGGATTGCGGCGTGACCATCCCCCCTGGGGGGTGATTTCTCGCTTTCTGTCTCTATGTCTCTGTCTGTCTGGTGAGCGCACGCGCCCTATAGCGAAAATCTCTCCAAAAACAAACAAAAATCTTCAAAACTCTATTGTGTAACTTTAAAAACTTAACTAAGCTCGATTAATATAAAATCTAGATTTAAATTCTGTGAGCATTTTTGTTTGAAGATGTTGGTTGAGATTTTATATTTGGTCTGAAATATTTATTACTTAGGAACTGTGTTAACTAAATTAGTTTGAATTGATAATATCATGGATTCTTAGAATTGGACGGGATCTTAGCACCTAAGTCAATCTTTCCTCTGCAATAGGGTATATACTTTTCTATGGCATATCTGACAAATGATTGTCTAGGATATAAATGTTTTTGCAGTACAAAATAAAGCGACCGATGAAAATTTCACAGTTACAGAGTTGATAAATCATAGAAAGAACTTGAATTTGTAGTCTAAAGTTTTAAGAATATGGAAGTTTAAGGGGCAATGGATATTGAGTTCACTCTAATTTATTATTTTTTAATGATTTGAATGATGAAAATAAGATAATGATTCTCCTTGGGACCAGCATTTGGTGTAATGGCTATGTCACTGGACTCCCACATAGTTGACCGTGGTTTGAGTCCTGGACCCAGTGGCTTAAACTCACACCACGCGCATGTGCGAGTGTGCTCAAAATCCCGAGAGGAGAATGGAGGAGAAGGGATGGCGGCGTGGCCATTCCCCCGGTGGGTGATGTCTCGTTTTCTATCTCTCTGTCTCTCTCTGTCTTTCTGGTGAGCACACACGCCCTATAGCAAAAACCTCTCAAAAAAAAAAAAGATAATGATTCTCCCATCGAAGCTTCTGTGATAAACAGGCATTAAGACCCAGAGAGATTTATGCCTACTCAACTGCACTAGGAAAAAGATGCTTTACTGCTGTGTAGACAGGTATTTGTAAGATCTGGCTTCTTGGGACATTGATTGTGCTGAATCTAAGAAGGGAGGGAGAGACTTTCTTTTGCTTTGGTCAGGATCATGACTCAAGCTGGTTTGCTTGCCTGTGTCCTTGGGAGCAGAGCAGGTGGCCCTTGGACATAGAGGATTTTCCAGGACTCCATTTACTGGATGTTGGCTACGTAAACTGTGTAGCTGGAAAAAAACCCCTACCTTTTTAATTGTTTTTATAGTCCTTTGACCCTAAGAACAAATTATTATTTAATAAGGTAATCAGTGTGATGTTACCAAGGTGGCAGAAAAGGAGGTGATCTGCTTAAATCCTCCCACAACAAGAAT